GTCCCCCTGAGGCGCTGAGCTCTCCTTTTTAATGTAAGAAAAGTGGCAGCTCGAAAGCCGTCAATGGCGCTCCCACAACAAAAGTCCTGAAAAGCTGAATGAATTGGGTTTGTAATTACGGTTTTGCGCCCCCCCCCCCCCGCGGCCACCTCTCACAGCTTATCTCTTACTCATTCAACATATATTATTGTTTTCTAATCTCACTCTCCTGGTTTTTCTGAGCACCCTAAATACCGGCCAGACCCTAGTTTGGCAATTAGAAGGGAGCAGAAGAAAGCAGGTCTGCACTACTCGGCAACTAGACAGTAGCCTTGGAGACCCCCCCCCCCCCACACTCCATTCCCCCATCTGCAGGATCTCTAGGGTCCTCCAACCCTCACCTCCCCGTCCTGTCTCTGGTCCCCATTCCTCCTCCTCTGTCCCTCTCAAAATCTGGAAGGAGGCTGCCAGGTTCTCCCCGCGGAATTCTCTCCCCACTGGCGGTAGGAATTGGACCCGAGAAGAGGAGCCCAGCACTGCACCCTAGCTCAGGAACAAATTAGATGCAAAAAAAAAAGGCCAGCTTAGCCCTGGGCTGTCAGGGCCTGGGTTGCATGGCTGCCTAGAAAACAAGAGCCTCCAGAGATCCCCGCCTGGAAGCATGTGTCAGTTCTCGAAATAAGTTCAACGATTACAAGCAAATCTGGGAGCAGGCTAAATAATTAATTGCAGCGCTGCTCTCTGACCCCTCGGAAAGTCCAGTAGGGACCAGTTCGAAGTAATAATACCTCAGAATGAGCCCTTGTCAAATACGCATTTCGCAGTTAATGTGAGCCGGGTCCCCCTGGGACGGCCTGTAACACCAGCTTCCCAGCCTTGGCAAGAAACCCTGCTAATCTACCTCTCCAGTTCAACAAAATATTTTAACACCCTGTCTTTAAAGGACGCTTGGGGGCAAGAAAAAAAAAAAGAAATGTTCACAGGGGAAAGTATGGTGTTATCCTAGGTTCAGAGGGGCTCCCGGGTAGGAGGTTAGTGACAACATTAAATCCAGTCCCTTGCTCAGAAACTGAGTGAGCATCCCAGACCAGATTCCACCTTGCACCAACTCCATTCCCCTCTTTCTTGGGGTAGGTAAATCTGCGCAACTTCAAACCTGAAGAGATAGCCAGTGCAAGTAAGATTCCCTAACCCCATCTTGCCTCGTAGAAAATCATAGATTTCAATTAAAGAAAATAAATATCCCCAACTAATAGTTATGAAATCTCACATCTCTTAGCCATTTAACCCGAGGAACTGAAAATTGAAATCCATCCCTGACTTTTTTTTTTTCTGGATGGTGATTATAATTTTTTTTTAAAGAAGAGAGAATTCAAATTGTCATACAAAAGACTTTTAGCTTCTCTCAGTTCAAGGACAAGCCTTTGGAGAGGAGACATTTATTGTTGTTTTTGGCAGACAAGGGACAATCACTTCATCTAGTCCAACCTTGCAAAATTCTTTTCTGTTCCCCCTACCCCAAGCTCTCCTTTTCATTCAAAATAGCTGAACCCCGGTAATTCGTCAACAAAAAGTCGCAGGCGTCAGTAAGCAGCTTAGGGTTGTGTCTCCTGTTTAAGTGCTTGTTTTTTTTTTTTTAAGTGAACTACAGCATACACATACAAATATATATGTATATATATATATACATGTATACAATACATACGCACATATTAATGAATTTTTTTAAACTTCCCCTTTTATTTAAAAAATGCCGACTCCGGGTTCAAATCTCTTGCATCTTGTTTCCTTGATGGATGGCAAGATCGTTTGGATCTTTATTCAAACTTTTCTTTTATTCATATGTGCCAGCAAGGGCAGGCTAACGTGCTCATCACCACGTGAATAATCCTATATGCATTACAAAAGCCGGGCAGCTCCGAGAAATTCTTTCAGAGTCTCTGCATTAATTAGAAAAAAAAATGCTTCGCCCATGGTAAGGGAACTGGAATAATAATGTCTGCCCTAGTACAGCATTGTCCTGAAAGTACAAGAAACTCACAAAAGGGTGCACATCCGAACCCTAAAATATGTCCATGGCGAGAGGGATAGCTCAAACCCAGAGCCTGACTGCTAGCTTTTAACTTTTCAGCTTGGGCCTTCAAAGGGGGGAAAAATCGGGCACCCCACAAGATGCATTTACATCGGCCACCGGCAGCCAGCATTCTCCGCCAACTAGACAGTGCCATTAAGAGCCCTGACTTCTGGAGACAAGTTTGCTTTGCAACTAACAAGGTGCAATGCTACCAGCTGCACACACCTCAAATCTCAATAATAGTCCGCATTTTGGAGCTCAGTTGGAGACCCAGCTGAAACAGTTCCCCAACACCGGCTCCCCGGGAGCACACGGGTAGCTGTTTTAAGAAGTTGTTAAAGGAAGCCACTCTTAAAAAAAAAAAAATTAAGTAGCACAAACGGGCAAGGGAAGGGTCATATTCGTTCCGCACGCTTTTTTCCTCGGTGACCTTAATCTTGATAAGTTTGGGGCACACGTGGCTGGGAAGTCCTATCTAGCATTTCACTACCCCAAAGCCCCAGGCAGAAGAGGCTCGGCGGCATCTTGTCCTCAACAATTCCAGGGCCCAGGGACCTTCTCCTCTGCTCCCCTTGCAACGGGGCCCAGGACCATTCTCTGCCAGCTCTAGGGCACAGCAAAGTATTGACACCGGCACCAGGGGCACCAACTATTGCAATGCTAAACGTGATTACTTACACAGACCCGACAGAGCAAAGCATCTACCTCAGAGACGGCTGGTTTCTTCCTTCATATGGCGGAAGCTGGATGCTCCTTGGCTGGAGGAGACACTATCCGAATTGGGGCTACAGTCTCCGACCCGCGCTGGCAATTTAAGAATCCGGATAAAGATAGAGAGGGAAATAGAAAGAGCGAGAGAAAGAAAAATAAATAAAAACCCCAGCTGTGATAAGAGGCGCGGTCTACAACTGGTCCTCTCTGGCCTCTCCTCTCTATGAGGGGAAAGAGGAGAAAGTTTATGGAATTCCAAACAAAAGAAACAAACCACTGGTTTCTCTCAGACAATAGCAGGGCCAGAGACACCCTCCCCCCCAACACACACATCAGCACTTTCAACATCCAGTTTGCAATTATTCTGACACAAAGAGACACCATTTGTCCCTGTAAATATACTTCAACTTCCCAAAGACCAGTGCACCGTGAACTAGGTTCAAACAAAACAAACACAGCCCAACACAGCCCGCCCAGCTTCTGCCTTTGGGCCCATCACCTCCAGCCAGTCTTCCGGAATACTGACAAATCTCCCCTTCCAGCATGCCTCACGTCCTACACCCAAATCCATAGTCTGAGGCTGCTTGTCAGGCAGAGAGGCAGGGTAAGCCCGTCTGTCCTCTCGTTATCTGCAACAAGTGTTCTAAATCAGTAAAAGCGCACACGTCCTCCCATCACCCCATCATCTGCTTAAAGATGGAGACCTGACTTTACAAAGGTCCAGGTCAGTGGAAGGTCCTGCTTTACCAGCCCCCCCCCCACCAAAAAAGAAAAATCAAAAACAAAAACGGACACCTCGCAAGGTGGTCCAGATTCCATATTCAATTAGCTAAGCATTGAACTCCCTTATTTACTGGCTATTTTGCATTTGCAGACCTGGTGCCCAGCAGCGGACACCTCGAATCTATTTTGTATTTTTTTGCTAAGGCCATTCTAAGGAGCCTGGCATTTTAGTTCCCCCAGGCACTGCCAGACAACGCCATTGTCTTCTCCAAAGAAATCCAAGACGCAAATGGAATTTCAGTGTCCATATTTCAAAAATTTATTATCTCAAACTGTGCATAATGGAATAAAAACTTAAGTTGAAAATGTACCTGTTATAAGGACGGGATTAGTTCAAATATATGTACATGGACACTCGGCAGACTGGTTTAAAGAAACACAGGGTCAGCCGAGTTTTTAAAATACAACTACCAAAAATGAGGGAGGAAAAAAAAACCGTAAATATCACAATAAATTTACAGAAATATTACAAACCATAAGAAAATATTTCAAACACAGTAATTTCAGGTCGCTCTCGCTGTTTTTGTTTTTTAATTTGTGTTCAAATTGAAACAGAAGGAAAAGTTTGGAAATAAATGCTATTATAAATTACCAGCCGTGGCAGCCTGTATGGAGGGGCCAGCTTTTGCTTTTTTTTTTTATAACAATAAGTAAAAAAAAAAAAAATGAGTACAACCTAAACTTTTGCCCTTTTATAGAAAACCATGGAAATGGTTTTTTGCAAGTATCCTAACCTTTTTTTCTCCTTTTGTACGATTTCTAAACAATTAAAATGTCCAAATTGAAATTAATTCCCTCCTCTCTTGTTTGCAACTGCCCCAAATCCCAGTTGCAGTGATAGGAAATTCTGCAAGAAGACTCTTGAAAAATATTGGCAAATTTTCAGATTAGAAACAATGGACATTTTGATTGCCATGTTTATCTCGATAAATACTGTACAAAAGTTGCTTGCAAATATTAAAACATTTTTTTTCGTCGTCACTTGGAGACTAGCTCTAAATATTATGGGTAAAGACTTTTGCAACTTTCTGCAAAGCTCCTACCGTCCACGCTAGAACTTTTTAAGAAGTTTTGTGTAGTTTTCTTCCCTTCAGAGATCTATACAAGCCCCCCTTTGTCTCCCCCTCCCCCAAGTTCTCTGTACAAAAATAGTCCCCCCAAAAAGAAGTCCGGAATCTCTCAATAAAAGTTTTCTTCTTGGCGTTGCGGTAGTTGTTGGGTTTTTGTTTTGTCGTGTGTGTGTGTGTGTATGTATGTGTATGTGTGTGTGTGTGTGTGTGTGTGTGAAGTTCTTTGCAGTTGTCATTGCTGTAGATGGTGGGGAATTTCCACCCCCTCCCATCCCGTGGTGCGGTGGGCCCCTTTCTCTATGCCATACAGTCTCTTTGTGTCTTTTTTTTTTTCCTTTTCCTTAAAAAAAAAACAAAGTTCCTGCCCTGCCGAGCTCCGGGGTTCACATGTGCGACAGGGGCAGAGTGCCGTTGATGGCCGTGCCCGGCACCGGCGCGCCCTGGTAGTGCTGGGACATATGAAGTCTGCTGGGCGCCGCGGGCTCGGGCACCTCGGCGCCGGGCAGGTACATGCTGATCATGTCCCGCAGGTCCCCGGCCTGGCAGGGCGCCCTGGAGTGCGACGACGAGGTGACCACGGGGGGGCTGGAGCTGGCCTCCGACTTGACCACGGAGCCCATGGAGCCCAGGGCCATGGCGCCGCCGCCGCCTCCGCCAGCGCCGCCGCCGGGGGCGGCCTGCTGCGAGTACGCCATGCTGCTGTAGGTGGGCGAGCCGTTCATGTAAGTCTGCGAGCTCGTCATGGAGTTGTACTGCAGAGCGCTCACGTCGTAGCGGTGCATGGGCTGCATCTGGGCGGCCGCGGCGGCCGCGGCCGCCGCCGCCGCCGCGTTGTGCGCGTTGAGACCCGGGTGCTGCGGGTAGCCCAGCTGCTCCTGCATCATGCCGTAGCCGCCGTTGCTCCAGCCGTTCATGTGCGCGTAGCTGTCCATGCGCTGGTTGACGCCACCGCCCAGGCCGCCGGCCCCGACGCCGACGCCGCCGCCCATGCTGTTGCCGCCGGGAGCCAGCAGGCCGCCGGGCAGCGTGTATTTGTCCTTCTTGAGCAGCGTCTTGGTTTTCCGGCGCGGCCGGTACTTGTAGTCCGGGTGCTCCTTCATGTGCAAGGCGCGCAGCCGCTTGGCCTCGTCGATGAAGGGCCGCTTCTCGGCCTCGGACAGCAGCTTCCACTCGGCGCCCAGCCGCTTGCTGATCTCCGAGTTGTGCATCTTGGGGTTCTCCTGGGCCATCTTGCGCCGTTGCCCGCGGGACCACACCATGAAGGCGTTCATGGGCCGCTTTACGCGGTCCGGGCTGTTCTTCTGGTTCGTGCCGCCCGCCGACGTGGAGTTAGGACCGCCGCCGCCACCGCCGCCACCGCCGCCGCCGCCGCCGCCGCCGCCGCCACCGCCCCCCGAAGTTTGCTGAGAGCCGGGAGGCTTGAGGTCTGTCTCCAGCATGTTGTACATCGCGCCGCTGCTTGGATCGCGCGCTCCGCGGGCCCCCGACCTCCCCGGGCCGGCCTCGGGCGTCCCGGACGGGCCGGCGAGACTTTTCGGGGGGCCCGAGGGCGGGGGGAGGGGAGGAGGGGAGGAGGAGAAGGGTGGGAGGGGGTCGCGAGCGCGCGCCTCCAACCAAATAAGATGAGGAGCGATGAAAAACGCAGAGCAAGGAGACGAACTGGAAGCAGGATCAGGAAGAAAAACTCCTCCACTGGCTTCTGCAGCTGCTGTCGCCGCCGCCGCCGCCGCTGTTATTATTGTTATTATTATTTGGTGAAACGGTCCTTTGAGCCCGGGGCTCAAAACTTCTTTCTCTCTCCCCCTCTCTCTCTTCTTCTCTTTCTTTCTCGCTCTCCTTCTCTCCTCGCTTGTTCTCTCTCCTCCGAGTCTTAAAGAGGCAGCAAACTACTTTCCCCCCTTTTGCAAACACTCTCTTCTCCGCCTTGACAACTCCTGAGACTTTTTTGAACAAGTTAATAGACAACCATCCATGTGATGGGGGCTGTCAGGGAATAAATGGGTTTCCCCGGACCAATCAGCGTGCTCGGGCTCCTCCACACAGGACAAGCCTCTCCGGCTGGTTTTGCATGAAAGGGGGCGGGGCCTGCCGCGCCGCGGAGTCTTCCGCGGCCCTGGGGGAGGGGGAGGCGGGTCCCACCGCCAGCCAGTCAGCCACTAAGAAACCTTTGTATCCCTCTCGCTGCAACAGGTCACACCACACGCCTTTTCGGAGGAAGAGGGTAAACAGCATAGTGGCTGCCTAGGGTTTTTTCCCCCTTCCAACTTGGTATTGATTTGGGGTAATTGAGGGTTGGATGAAGGAGGAGATTGAGTAGTTATGGGGTGGAGGGGCAACTTAATGCAAGTCTCCCATCAGTATTTCAGAAAAGGGTCAGAGAGATGTGTTCTCTATGACACCCTTGTTTTTTCTCCCCTAGTTGACACCTTCCTCAGAACTACCGAGAGAATTAGCTGCAAATCCCACCAGGCTACAGGTTCCCCTCCTCCATCGTCCCCACCCCCACTCCAATTTTGTCCCTCTAACTCGCTTTCTCTTTGGTCTTTTTCATCTCACTGTAGTTTCTGCAAAGGAGCTGGGGAAGTAGTATTCCCAAGACTTCGCTCTCACTTTCCTTCCTTGTTTAGAAAATATTTGTAAGCTCGTTACTGCAAGTTTCAGGCCAATGTATCCCTCCTTGCAGGGACACCCCTTTTCTTCCTATATAGGCTTTGTTATTAAGAAATTGTAGGTATCTCATATCTAATTCATTCTCCTCCTGCTCCTCCTCCCCCCTCCCCCTCTTCCCCTGGCTATGGCCCCGCCCCGCCCCCACCCGCCCAGTCCTTAATCCATTCAAACAGTGAGGAAAAGCAAAAACAAAACAAAAAAAAACCAAACCCACAAACCCTAGCCCCATATTCCTCATTCTCTTCCCTTCTCCTTTCTCTTAAGTCTATCAGAAGAATTTCAGTGTGTCCCTTTCAAATAAGGAGTAGGGGGAAGCATAACTCTAATAAACGAAGGGGGAGGGAGAGAAGAGGGAGACAGAAAGAAGGAAACAGGAGGAGGAGGGAGGAGGAAGAAAGGAGTTAGATTAACGTTCCTTCAGTTCAGACCCAGAGAATTGGGATCCAAAAGAACACAACTCCCGAGTTCTAACGTGCTATGTTTTTCAAGCGCCTCAAACACAGTTCCCACAACCCAAACTTTATCACCCTTTCCTTTTGTCCTGTCGCTCACTCCCCCAAAGTCTGCACCACGCTCTCCCTTCTTCTTTTGGCTCAGTAATTCGCTTGGGACTGGGCTCCCCGGGGCCGGGAGGTCAGGGTGGGGTGAGGTCTGCCAGACCCATCCAGGGTCAGGACAGGGGAGACGAGGGAGCAGGCTGTGGACAAAAAACCTCGAAAGGAGGAGGGGAGGAAGGAGTGGAGACGAGGTAGGACGAGAAGGGGGGGGGGGGGGGGGGGGGGGATTGGACTGGAGGGTCTCCGGAATTTTGCTCGCAGCGGACCCAGGAGGGTAATTTTAGCCGCTTTCCCATTGTCCTGATGTAAAGATTTCAATAGGTGGGAGCTCAATGCGTAGAGAAATGGGAGCACGTCCGTTACAAATAGGTAGTTTTGTCTCTCTTGTCACTACACGCAGGCAAACAAAGCCCGGTCTAACTTTCCTTCCACTCTCTTGTTGGGATCTTTGTGACTAAAATGCACTTGACTACAAAGGAAAAAAAGAAGCAACAACCTCATGCTATTTGTGGCTTATAAAGGACTTAAACCATCAGGGTTATTTGTTTTTTTTCTCCTTTAACGCTCTACCCACCCCCAACCCCTTCGGTCCCTCGCCCTTCACTAGATCCCGGCCACGTTCCATCCATTGCATTAATTCACTCAGCAAAAGTGCGTATTACTGAGGAGGAAGAGAAGTCGTTGCCCTCTCTC